CTAGAATTAGATCCATAAGAAAAATCAGATTCAAGGCTATGTTCAGATTCAAATTCAGTTGTACACTAGTTTAAAAACTACATTCAGATCCAGACTGATATCCAAATTCAGTTTCAAATCCTAATTTAAATTTATACCGAGATAAAAACTACATGCAGATATTGAGATGCAAATTTAAATTTATACCCTATCAAAACTAGATTCAGAATCAGATTAAGATCCACATTCAGAATTAAATGCTAATTTAATTGTATACATGGATCAAAACTACATACAGATCCAGATTGAGACCCAAATTCAGTTTTACATCCTAATTTAGATTTAAACCTTGATCAAAAAACATACATATCCAGAATGAGATCCGAATTCAGATTCAAATCTTTAAAGTTATACCTAAATCAAAACTACATGCAGATACAAACTGAAATCCAAATTCAGATTCAGATGCCTAAACTTACACCTAGATGAAAACTAGATTCAGATCCAGATTGAGATCCAATGTGAGATTAAAATCCTCATTCAAATTTACACCAAGATGAAAACTAGATCCAGATTCAGATTGGGATCCAAATTCAGATTCAAATCCTAATTTAAATTTACACCTAGATGAAAACTACACATGGATACAGACTTAGATCCATATTCAGATTCAAATCCTTACATTCACACCTAGATCAAAACTAGATTTAGATCCAGACTGAGATCCAAATTCATATTTAAATCCTTATATTTACACCTAGAACAAAACAAGATTTAGTTCCAGACTGAGAGCCAAATTTATATTGAAACACTGTTTTAATTTACACAAAACTACATACATATGCAAATTGGGATCTAAATTCAGATTAAATTTGAATTTACACCTAGATCAAACTACATGCAGATCCAGACTGAGATGAATTCAGTTTTAAAATCCTTAAATTTACACCTAGACCTAAACTACATTCAGATTGAGACTGAGAACTAAATTCAGATTTAAATCCTAATTTATGTTTAAACTGATTAAAAAATGTAATGCAAAGGACAGAGTCAGATTTCTTTCAGATCTAGATCCAAATTTGAATGTGTACCCACATTCTTCTAGACATAAATATACCCAAAACCATATGCAAAATTGTCTTCAATTACGGATTCAGGTTCAAATATGCCCAGATTTATTTCTAGATGTAATTTCAAATATACTTTTTGGTTTACCCAAATCCAGATTCAGAACTAAGATCCAGGTCACATCAAATTCAAATTTTAACCTATAATTGTCCCTAAAAACTGAATCCAAAACTGAATTTAATGGTACAGCTTGTCAGATTCAGATATATTCATATTCATAGTGAACACTATGGAATTCCCCAATAAAAATGATGTGCTGAGAATCTGTCTAACACACTTGCACATTGGCAGGCTTCAGTTTCTCAACTCAAGTAACTCTTATCAGAAGTAATAAAGTCGGCAACAGCTGTCAATCCCTCCCCTCCTGCCTGACTCTATGCACTTGAACTATGCAGCAAGCTTGTCAAAAGTACTGCAGAGGAAACGCTACGATTTCAACAACCTCTCGAACAAAAGTAACCTATTGCGATAAGCAGAAAACAGATTATTTAATCTTTGTATTGTACAGTATCAAGCAACATTCAATTTTCATTCGAACACAACCTTCAATTCTCATGTTACTTCTAGTCTTACATGCACACAGTCTATCTTGCCAGCGTATTTGATTTAAATCCAATCCTCTTTCTGACATGACACTTGATTTAACCTCGCTTTGACATTTTCTCATTTCCAGTTTTAACATTGTCTTCCCACCTTGGATTACTGAGGCACTTGCTCTTGCATAAATATTCTTATCATAAAGTCATTTTTTTTTCAGTGTAAAGGACTACCCATCCCACACTGCCATATTGCGTTTGATGGTTTTGATAAGGAAGTCATGCAAAGCGATGCTCAGGAATGCAGTCAATGTCTGATGTTAGATATCTGTTTGAAGTGTCGCTATGACACCAACATCAAACTCTAATTAAAAAGGAATACTAAAAAGTCTCATTTGGTTATAATACTATTGTAAATTAAATTTTTGACTTTTTTTGTTGCTTTTATTAAACTGGAATTCATTCAAATTTAGCAAGATTTCATTCAAATCTATGTCTGATTAAGCCAAGATACAGTATTACCCATGTAGCTGTTTGTATTTTAAAGACTTCAAGTATTTATAAACATAATAAAATATAAACCTAAATTAATTTGTTAGCATCTTAAAGACTTTTTAATTATATTTTACATTAAATAAAATATATTTTGGACCATTAACAATAAAATTTATTAAATATATTTTTCATAATGCATGTTTTAAAGCTGTTTGTATCTTAAAGTCTTTTTTTTACGTTTATTTCATTTATATAAATGAAATAAAAAATAACCCTAAAGTCATTTGTCTGATTCAGCCAGGTTTACTATTAAGAACTGTTAGTATACTATCTACCATTAGAACTGTTAGTATCTTAAAAAACATTTCAACTATTTTAAACAGAAATTTTATTTTGAACCTTTAACATTATTTTTTGCAACCCAGGCTCATTGCACATACATACCCAGGTCTACATTACTGGGGACAGCAAAATACGTAACCAGAGGTACGTCAGTTTTTCTTTTTGCAAATTTACCAGAGGGCTCAATATATACTTCAGCCAACCAAGCCAGCTCGCCGTCAACTGACTGACTGACCCATCCACCCCTACCCTAAACTTAACCGATAGTGTTTTGAAAAGCAGCCTAGAAAAATAAAAAAGTCATGGCTGCGTGATTTCACCACATTTTAAGCTTGTTATTTATTTTGCTTTAGTTTTACCTGGTTTTTAGAGCCTTTCTTCGACGGACTCAAACGTTATCATCGCTGTCAACTCCGCTCTGCGTCCCAAGTCTATTCACATATGCGGCGAGCCACTGGGCAAACTGGTAACACCTGAAAAGCCATCTACACAGAGGTAAGCGGTCAGCTGGTAATGTGGAAATGAACAAAAGCCGCTGACGGGGTCATACCGCCTCTCAGAGTTCATTTTAAAGACAAAATGCAGCCAGATACATAATTCATGCTCTCCAGAAATGTAGACGGGGATACGTGTCCACAATGAGCTTGCGTTCATTTTTTTGCTCAAAAATATATATTTTATGCATAATGACTTTTTACATACATTGTACATATAAAAATAAGATATAAAAGAAAATATGTTTGGGACAACTTTATTGTTTTATGTTCAGTCCATTTAAGTTGTTACATTAACTTAATCGATTTGTTTTGGGACAACATGAATGAATTGTGTGGAACCCTGCATTTCTACAGTGTAATAAACAACAAAAATGTTATCATATTTGATCCCTAAACTGTATGCATCCCCTCAAAAAAAGATTATGAGATTTTTTTGTTGTTGTTACAAAAGATGAAATTTAAAGGAACGTTCTACATAATCATTGTAAAAACATCCCAAAATCACAATGTTTTTCATTACAGAATTGTGAAACAGCTGAAACATGTTTTAAAAAATCTGCTTCTCAGATTTATAAACAATTCACAAATCACACCCAACAATTAAATCCAAGACTCTCATCACGGTCATAAAACAAGCATAATATGAGAGGAGAGTTAAAAGTGAGGTCACAAGATGATTGACAGCTGTGTGTGACAGAGGACAGGGCTATAAAGACAAATGTTACTCCTTTAGAGATCCATACTGTACAACGTCCTCCAGGTAAAACAGGTAGAAATGTATCAGATCAGGCTGAAAGTGTGGTATAAAAACTGGCGGGAGGTCAGAGAGAAACTCTAGTGTAATAATAGCTCTAAAAATTTCTAAAATAAGTTTCTAAAATAAAAGCTCTTTTTATTAACACCAACAATTTGCTAAAGTAATAATGAATAAATAATTGCCTTGACCTTAGGATAATACTTATTATGTACTAATGACTTTAGATAATTATATTACATTCAAAATTGTACATTGTTTGTACATTATTCATACTTTATGAATTACACCATTACTACTCATTTACACAATGGTAGTAAAAAAAAAATCTCCCTTTTTCATTTTTTCATTCATTCATGCCCTTGCAACCCATCACTGGGAAACATCCATACACACTCATTCACACACATACACTACGGACAATTTAGTTTACCAAATTCATCTATACCACATGTCTTTGGACTGGGGGAAACCGGAGCACCCGGAGGAAACCCACGCAAACACTTATTTTTTTTTTTCTTTTTTATTCTAAAAGATACCATATTGTTGAGCTTTGAATATTGACAATATTGGATAATATATAGGATAATCTGTGATCCATGCTTATAACTTGTAAACAAATTAAGACAAATATAGCTGTTCAATTAATTAGTTATTGTTAGGTTAAACAGTTATCGAAATATAATCTAAAATGTGGTCAAATTGCAATACAAAACATGCAAATTTGTAGTCAGCAACAGACTCATTTTTGTCTGTAACCTACTGTAAGGCAAATTTGCTGTTTTTCCTTAAAGATTTCTTATTGGGATGAGGAAGAAAGCTACATGACATGTTCATTGATATCTTGTGTCATGTAGTCTATTTAAAATCGGAACAAATTCTGTTAACTGAATCATTTAAGCTGCCAAACCGTCTCGGCAACAATTACGTTAAGTTTGATGAATCATCACTCGCTGACTCGCTCATCCACTGAATCGTTTGAGAGCAGTCAGCAAAAATATCTAATTTCAGAACTCAGAAAACACTAAATTCACTATATTAAGAGGATATGATTTTACATCCAAAGCTAAAATCCACCACACAGCGTCTGTCATCGATTCAGAGTGTATTAAATATGACACCTGCGTGAGCCGCTTGCAAACGACTCGTTTGCAGGTGCGGATATTTTCAGACCACAAGTAAAAACACACACACTGACAATACAACATTGTTATGTAACACTTAAATGTCAAACAACAGCTTACAGTGTCGAACTGTGCGGTGAGAGCTAACACTGTAAGTGCGTGTGAGCTGAACCGAGTTCGTGTGTGAGATGTTCGGATCTCTCCTCCTTCACACTTCCTTAAACAAGCGCCCGCACTCTCCTTTCTCCGAGGTCGCAGATCCTCTTGTCCGTGTGTGTGTCGTAGACTCATGTCGTGTCTGAGGACTGTCTCAAAAGTGTGTATGCTGAGGGGCTGAACTCAAGCCCCCAGTGACCATAGAGGGAGGCTGTTTATTCCCCCAGAGACCCCAATGCAGATGGTGAGTGCAGTGAGGGGAAAAGTTTATGACAGCTCTTCTGTTTTCGCTTCACGGCTGCCCCATGGAGCTATCTGGTTTCTCGGATGCAGCCATACAGACTTTTTGCCGGGCTGTTTGACTCTAATGTACTTGCATCGGACAGAGTCACGTTCCGGATTGATTTTTGGATCACGTTGAATCCTGCACCGGTCTCGAGTCACGTACTGGATTTGTTTAGGGTTTTATTGGATTTTTGTTCCTGCGCATTTCTGTGGACGTTCACTGGATAGCCGTTTTAAAGGTAATAACAGTCTGTTTACAGTCATTTGGATGCTACTAATGACAAGTTGGATGTGTGTGTGTGTGTGTGTGTGTATGTGGTGATTTGCGTGTGTGACGCGCGCGTGTATATGTTTTGCTAGGCTGTAATGTAAAGGTCATGTAGTTCCAATGTTTTTGTCTATTTTTGTGCTTGTGTGTGTGTGTGTGCGTGCGTGTCATCGCCTTCCATAATAAGCTATAATCAGTGTGTATGTGGGTGATGCAGTTACCTTTTTAAAAATAGTCACATTGTGTGACAGACTTCGTCTAAAACTGGAAACTTTTAAAGTATTAAAATACAATTATACTTTTAAAAACTCAGCTATTGTGAAAAATGTCTGTCGTTTTACTTTAAATAATACGTTTTTATATATTGCATAATATTATACGAATAAATAGGCTACTTATTAAGGCTTTAATCTCACACACACTTGTTTTCATGGCTTATGCAGACTCCACATATATTATTTAATTACTATACAAACTTTATATTTTATCCCTTTAAAATCACAATATTAAACACAACCCTTACAGAAAGCTAAAATACAAAGCCAGAGGACAAATGTGTAATTCCCATGTAATACCCATGTAATTATACACAATTATAGCCTGAAACCACATAAAACTACCATCACACACACACACACACACACACACACACACACACACACACACACACACACACACACACACCTTTAAAGTAACCACGAGTAGCCATATGCCTTTAAAGAACCTTACTAAGTTCTTTTGACCGCTGTTGACAAAGCTAGTTTCACATTTCTACATCTGTTACGTGATTTAACGTTTTGAAGAAGTGGTGTTAAAATAGCTCAGACGTTCTCCTTTTTCCATTCAGGAGTAAAATGTTTTGAATTTTAGCCCTGTGTGAAACTCTTGTGGTGGCATCCACCTTAAATGCACAATTTATTCTTTAAAATAACCCAAAATCACAAGAACGGTATTACATTTTTATTGAGTTATGTATTTACATTCTCCCAATAGTTTTAAAAAATTTTCAAATCCAGAGAAGTAAACAAATTTAACTTATGACATGGTGGACAGGGGCGAGGCAGTGGCGGAGTAGGTAGTGCTGTCTCCTCACAGCAAGAAGGTCGCTGGTTTGAACCTCGGCTCAGTTGGCGTTTCTGTGTGGAGTTTGCATGTTCTCCCTGCCTTCGTGTGGGTTTCCTCTGGGTGCTCCAGTTTCCCCCACAGTCCAAAGACATGCAGGTACAGGTGAATTGGGTAGGCTAAATTTTCCGTAGTGTATGAATGTGTGTGTGAATGTATGTGGATGTTTCCTAGAGATGGGTTGCGGCTGGAAGAGCATTCGCTGCGTAAAAACTTGCTGGATAAGTTGGTGGTTCATTCCGCTGTGGCGACCCCGGATTAATAAAGGGACTAAGCCGACAAGAAAATGAATGAATGAATGGTTGACAGTGTCCTGTGTGGCCGTGCTAATAATGTAACACACCCACGACTTCAAGTTTAGTTTTATAGAAAACAGTGAAACACCGAAGATGCTTTAAAATGTTGTGTGTTTGATTAAATTGCACAGCGCAGCATTATAAATAAACTTTGTGTTTAGTATGATAATGTGTTTAGTATGATAGATAGGAGCTGATTCTTTCTTACATGATGATGACCGGAAGAGTCAATGGACTGTGGCATAATAAAAGCTCTGCTGTTATGTCACGACACACTCATCCCTTATCAGCAATTGCATCAGCAATCTTGTTTTAGCTTTCAGCATTACTCTGCTTCATACCAAAGACTAAAGTATACACAAGACATGTCACTCGTATAGTTTTGAATGGGGAAAAGTGTAACGGTCAATATGGTGAGTGAAGCCCTGCCTTCTAGTACAGGAGTCAATTAGTGATTGCTATACCATGGCGATTCTTAAGAGGAGGGGCTCGGTCCAGATGTGAGTTTCTGCAAATTTTGCGTGATTCGAACATTTAGAAATAAAACTAAAGAGACAGATGTTGTATAAATTTATTGGTGATTCCTAATATGACATTTTTGAGATTTTGATGCTTCCCCATTCAAACAGAATCCCTGAGCATACTGCTTGAGAGGCGTTTCAAAGACAGCAGGCGAGTGAAATGACTTGCCTTAAAGGGACTTTGTTCATACTACCATGATGATATGTTTTGCATACTTTAGTTTATGATTCAGATCATATATTTTGCAGCTGTCCTGCAGGATATAATGAACACAACTCCGATAATTCCACACTCAGTCATAGCATCATCAAAATACACCTTTGTTTGTTGTGAATATGCACCCACTAGTGGCGTGCATAGTATACAATTATATCTGATATAATGGCGAGGCAGTGGCGCAGTGGGTAGTACTGTCGCCTCACAGCAAGAAGGTCGCTGAGTCGCTGGTTCGAACCTCGGCTCAGATGGTGTTTCTGTGTGGAGTTTGCATGTTCTCCCTGCCTTCGCGTGGGTTTCCTCCGGGTGCTCTGGTTTCCCCCACAGTCCAAAGACATGCGGTACAGGTGAATTGGGTAGGCTAAATTGTCCATAGTGTATGAGTGTGTGTGTGTGGATGTTTGTGTGTGGATGTTTCCCAGAGATGGGTTGTGGCTGGAAGGGCATCCACTGTCTAAAAACTTGCTGGATAAGTTGGCGGTTCATTCCGATGTGGCGACCCCGGATTAATAAAGGGACTAAGCCCACAAGAAAATGAATGAATGACTTATCATTTACCATAAAGTGCTCTCATTTGTGAAATGTAGTAGTTTTGCATACTACTAAACTCAGCTCAGAGTAAATGAAGTCTGGAGTCAGTTTGAGGTTCATGTGGAGTTAGAGGAGGTGTGGGGGAGAGTAAGATGAGGATGCAGAGAGAAACTAATAAAAGGAAGAGGCAGGAATGAACACCAGTCTGTCAGCTGACTGACACTGTAGGAGATGATGATATCTGGAAGAGAAGGGAACGCACAGTTCCATGATAACTCAGGAACAGAGCGGCTAATGCCGAATCTATCTGTGTGCTTAATTATTTTATGTCATTATTTAGTAGAAGCAACTCAGATTATAAAGTCATATCATTTGTGAATTTTCTTTTCTAAGCCACATTTGGTGGTCCAAACCCTCCTCTAGTATCCTAACCGCACCTTATGGTGCTTTAGCGTTGATGGGAGAACATTATTTGCCAGAGAGGTAGAGAGCGACATCACTGTGGCTATTTAGAGGACTGATCTCCTTTCATTTTCCCCATCAAACCCTCCATGACCCAGGGCTGTGATTGTGTTTGTGATGCGGGCATGTCTGTCTCTGTCTCATTCAGGCATTACAATGACTGCAGACTATCTCATCTGCTGTATTGGAGCGACAGAAGCCGAACGGACAACTCACAAACAGTTGTGTCACTTTTGAAGCTATAATTATTATTATTGATGACTGTTTTGGTCAATCACAGTGTTAATTAAAATATGATCATCAGTTATCAAAATAATTTATAAATTACTTTACTGTCACTTTTTATTACATTTTTAGCATTTTATTTTTCGTCTAAATTTCCTGAAATTGCACAAAAATATTACTTTTGCTAATATACTTATAGCTTTTTCAGACTTGATAACTAACAATATATATATACAATAATGAAGAAATAAATATTTATACATTTGCTAGTAATTGTGGCAGCAGTAATTAACAGTATGGCATGAAAAGCATCTTTATTGTGACTTTTTATTACATTTACATCTATTCATTTGGCAGGTGGTTTTGCCCAATGCAGCTTACAATTGAGGAGGCATTCAGCGATTCATCAAGAAAAGGCAATACACACAAGAAGTGCTAATTATACAAAGGAATAGTATTCAGATAATTAAGTGCTAGAGTAAGGAAGGGGGAGGTTCATTCATTTATTTATTTTAATAGAGAGAAGAGTGTTTCTACAGGTGGTCTGTCAAGCCCACTCATCTGCATGAAGCACACTTCATAAATGCACAGCATTTGTTTGGGATATTGGGTTGTATGTTAAACTAGTCAGACAGAGATGAAAAAAATGTGTTTTCTTCAGGTGGTTTGTCAAGCCCACTCACTTGTGTGAGGCACATAGAATTGAATAATGTTTAGAGGTTGTTGTCTGCAAATTATTGCAGTCTTGTTGAACAAAAGTAACTAAAAGCGACCAAGGCTCATTCTGAACACGTACCCTTATATACATTTCTGGAGAGTGCCAAATAAGTCCCAGGAGCTATGTTGTTTTGCAGTTTTTGTTTGTGTATGCTTTTTGATATCTTAAATCTTATAAGATTCTCTCGCGAGTACCTTTCACACTTGCTCTTCTTGCGTAAAACCACCAGAGGACGCTGTCGACTGACTGACTGACTGACCAAACGACCAATAACCGCACCCACCCCTTCTTTAAAGTCAATCAATAGTGTTTTAAAATGCAACGATAGACCAGCGCCCATCCCCTTCCCTAAACCAATCCGACAGTGTTTTCAAAAGCAATCCAGAAAAAGCAAAGCCCTCACTGCAGCCTGATTTTTGCTACATTTTCAGATTTTACCACATTCTCACCCTGTTATTTACTTGTTTGTTTTATTTTTTGGCATTTCTTTTTGTCTTACCTGCTTTCTGCAAACATTCTTCACCGGACTTGAACCCTGTCGTCGTGGTCAACTCTGCTCTGTCTGTCAAATGGACAAAGTGGTAACACTGAAAAAGCCGTCCATATGTAATTCCTCACATTTATTTATTTTATTATATATTCATTCATTCATTTTCTTTTCGGCTTTTCGGTCCCTTTATTAATCTGGGGTCGCCACAGCGGAATGAACCGCCAACTTATCCAGCATATGTTTTTACGCAGCGGATGCCCTTCCAGCCGCAACCTATCACTGGGAAACATCCATCCACACTCGTTCACATTCACACACTTATACACTATTGCCAATTTTAGCATACCCAATTCACCTGTACCACATGTCTTTGGACTTGTGGGGGAAAC